TCAATCTTTTATTTGATATATTTTCTATTTAATTCTCTTCCTTTATTAATTTTTTATTGTATTTAATTTCCTTATTCATTTTTTTTATTTATTGGTTTTTAATTTTTCTTCTTTTATTTAATTCTTTCATTTTATTTATTATCTGTGTTCTATTTAATTTCCATGTTCTATTCAAGAATACATCATTTATCCGAAAAATAAAATCCCAATTATTAACTGATTTACTCATCAAAGAGTGAATGAAATTTTGATCATAAAAAAAGCATCAACTTTGGCGAATACCTGCATATAAATTGTTGATCGAAAACTGATTGAACGGGAAAGTTTTTTTTTCTTCTCTCTTCAGAGCGTTGTTTTCTTTATGAGAAGACATTTTTATATATTGGACAAAGTTTATGGGTAAAAACTGTCAGTATCGTTTAAATTCTGTTCCTTGCGTTCTCAATTAAAGCGTACACCTGCCAATTATTGTACATTTGACACCTCGGGCATTAAACAGATATCATATCTGAATGATAATCAGGTGAAATAAATAACCGAAAGTTAATAAGCGATCGTACACCTTATCGTGACGTGGATCACATCCTATTAAAGGTAAATCACATGCTTCTGGTATTTTACGTCAAAATTCATCCACTCTCTTTTTTACATAAATTTTACATATACTCGGTTTTTTTTCATTTTTCTTCAATCTATCATCGAGGAAATTACCTTTCAACTAAAGATTTCTTTTCAGAATAAAAAATATTTTTATCCACTCTGTTAATTATTGACATATTTTTTTAACTTTTCTATTATTAACATTTTCTTTTCTTTTAAAAGACGAAATTGATTTTCGGATAAAATGAATAAAAGACAGATTTAAAATTATAGTAGGTATTTCTTTTAATTATTATCATTTTATTTTTGACTCGAAGAAATATTCCGAATGTTAAATAAATTATCCGCACGTACAGGATAAAAATTGTCAATAATTAATACTAATTAATGAATTAATAATTGAAATATCATTACTTAGTAAGATAAGGAAAATTTCCATAATTAAAACTAATAGAAGAGATAAAAATATTCCATTTCCTGATTTCAGGAAAATATACTTTTTTAAAAATTTAATCCCATAATACGATACAATTCATGGAAAAGAGAAAAAAAAATTAGAGCACACTCAGTATATAATTAAAATTAAACGGGTAATTTAATTTCAAACATTTAAAACCAATTGCAATCTAATTTGATAGTGAATCTGTTTAATTAATCGACTATAGAAATTCAGAATGTTATAATTACATTGCCGAACGAGGTCAGCGGACTGAGAAAATGATTAAAATATTTCTGTTTAAAAATAATTCTAGAGCTGCGCGGCAATATAGGATAATTAATTAATTTACCCGTAAGATCTTTAGTATTCAGAGAGCAGTAATTATTTAACCTTTTACGGAGGGAATAGGAGAATGTTCGTGAGAGAAATTTGACGAGCCATAAATCTGATTTTCAAATTTACAAAGACGTTTACATAATATTAATAGGGTATCGCAATGAATTCTTGACTAGAAGACGTCTGCATTCAAGAAATCTCGAAATGATTAATCAATTTCAATTCTAGCTTATTTTTTTCTCCTTTTTGTAATCCATGTAAAGTAGAACTAAAGCATTTTTTTATAGAATGAAAATGATTTATTTCGTTTATTTTAATCGATGTAAAACTGGGGCAAATTTTTTTTAATTGGGACAAAAATTATTTGTTTCGTTAATTAAATCCTTCTAAAAAACTAAAAAATATGTTTTCAATTAGGATACAAATTTTTTTTATTAAAATATTTATTTTCCATATTTATCAATGAAAAAAAGATTTATTTTTTAAAATATTTTTTCCCTTTATTTATTAACGAAAGAAAAATTTATTATCTTCAATATTTATTTTACATATTAATTAACGAAAGAAAATTATTTGTTTTCTTAAATATTTATTTTCCATATTTATCAACGAAAAAAATTATTTATTTCCCTTAATACCTACCTACTTATTTATTTTTCAAATTTATTAGCGGAAAAAATTCCCTACAATTCGTTACGTGTAAATTACACTTATTAACAGGTAATAAATCGATGAACGGGAGGAAGGGGGGGGGGAGATATTTTCGAGGAAAAAAAATTCTCGTTTTTTGGAAATAAAAAGTCGATGTGATTAAGTGAAAATCTTACTTTTCATAAAGACATAATTGCTACGGTTAACCTAATTTACCAGGAATCGCTTATTATAATTATGTGACACGCTTTCAATTTTTAACGTGTCCCTGATAATAACAGACATGGAAGTATCAATAAGTCGTTATTGAATTTCCAAAGACAGTATTTTCGAATCGCAAAAAGAGGAACTTTTCAGAGACCGTCAATTATTTTAATAACGATAATTTCAAAATTTTTTTATTTTTTTCATGCCAATAATTGAAAATGAAAAAAATGTTCAACCAACACTTTCAAAAAAATTTTATTGAGAATTCTTTTATAATATAACTGTAAAATTAGTATTTTTCGCAAAAAGAGAGAGAATCGATTGTCTGCAAAGAACAATCGATTGTGTATTTTAAAAAAGAATAATAATAGAATATTCGATTTTTTCTAAATTATTCTAAATTTAAAATAAAAACACGATTTTTTATTAAATAAGTGCAATTTCCAAAAAGATCTTCTATTAATATTGATTATTGGAACGACTGATTATGGGTACCATTGATAAATGGTATCACTGCTTTTTGTGCCATTGATAATTAGTATCATTGATTTTTTTAACCATTGATAATTGGTACCATTGATTTATTGTGCCATTAATAATTGGTACCTTTAATCTATCATACTATTGATAATTGGTACCATTTTTTGCCGTTACTATTAATAGTTGGTACCAAGAGTTAATAGTGTTATTAAATATTGGTACCACTGATTATTGGTACCATTGTTAATTTTTGTCACATATTGCTGATACGATTAATAATTGGAACCATAAGTTGCTTGAACCTTTGATAAAAATTATTATATTGCTGGTACAATTAACAACAAGTATTACATTGCTGGTACCATTAATAATCAGTATTATGTCGCTGGTACCATTAATCATCAGTATTATATTCCTGGTACCATTAATAATCTATATTATATACCTGGTACCATTAATAATTGGTATCAAGAATCGCAGTTATCATTAATTATTGCTATCATACACTACTGGAACCATTATATATTGTTACCATATAACCATAAGTAATAGAGACCACATTTTGCTAGTACTATTAGTGATTGGTACCAATGAGTTCTGTTACTAATTATCTTTGGTACCAATGATTTCTGGTACCAATTATCTTTAGTACCAATGACCTATGGTATCAATTATCTTTAGTAACAATGGTACCAATGACCAATGGTACCAATGATCTATAGTATTAATTATCTTTAGTAACAATGACTTATGGTACCAATTATCTGTGGTATCAATTGTCTTTAGTAACAATAAATTATGGTACCAATTATCTATGGTATCAATTCTCTTTAGTAACAATGACTTATGGTACCAATTATCTATGGTATCAATTCTCTTTAGTAACAATGACTTATGGTACCAATTAGCTATGGTATCAATTGTCTTTAGTACCAACAACCTTTGGTAAATTGTTACTAATAATATCTTTGGTACCAATAATATTTAGTACCAATGATCTATGATACCAATTATCTTTGGTACCAATGATTTCTGTTACTAATTATCTTTGGTACCAATGATTTCTGGTAGCAATTATCTTTTGGTAGAAATTATCTTTAGTACCAATAATCTATGGTAACAATTATCTTTGATACCAATGATCGTTGGTACCAACATTTATTGATATAAATCCCCTGACAAATTGTTTATAACTCTTCTAATTTTTATATTTCATTCACTAATTTTTGCTACCAGTAATTGTTAATATTGTTTGTTTTGGTTACCAAAAATTGTTGTATTGGAAATTTTTTCCCTAAATACTTAGTGGGAAAAAAATATTATCGAAAGTTGATGATAGAAATCAAACGTTAAATATAGTTATTCGTTGTTCCCACAATGTATGGCCATAAAATAATGCTCTTATTATTCGTAGTTTACAAGGAACGCCTCCTTGCGACCTGTTGTAAATTTGTGTCACGTCCTCTTTGAGAAAATAAATAAATAAAAAAAAAATTGAAATCGTTGGCTGTGTTGATATCGAAGTGCAGCTAGACACTGTTTATATGCGCCGTTACCGAGAATTTACTGAACTTACCGATATTTATGAATAGTTGTTTAACTTACACTTGAACATAGCGCGTCGCCGCCAACTCGTAAAGCATATAACGTTTTTGCGGTCGGCCTGCGGGATAAACGAAACGAAACGCAGCATTGCGCGAGCGTTATTCACACTTCGCCCACGCCCTGGGAAATTTTCATCTCTATATATATATATAGATATACAGATCCACATGTAGAAATATGTATATATATGTATACATAGGTATATATATATATATATATATATATATATACGCATATTTACCTGCATGCATTTTGCCTTCGATCATGTCGAATACTCGTCCTCCCTTTCGCACACACAAAACTTCTCTCACGATAATTTATTCCTGCACGGGAATTTATGCATATAAACGTCGGCCACGGTCACGGCCTAATACTTACTTTGCCAGTTATAGACGCGAAGGTCGAAATGGATTAACACGTGATTCTTGTGATACAGGATATTTTCTATTGCTAATATTGTATTCATAGTGTACAATTAAAAGCACTCGACACGACCTCCGACATTATTCCTGACGTGATAGTAAAGAAAGAGAGAGAGAGAGAGAAAATACATTATCATTTTTTTTTGCTCCATAATATTCGAAAGTTTACCTCTACCATTATTAACATTATTATACCTAATTAAATATATATTAAAGTCTTTTTTATAATTGAGTAATTTGTTTTCACTTTTTTTTTGTTGCAGGTGAGTCGAATCTTCACGCTGTTCTCACGCGAGAATGCTTTGAAATTCAAGGTATGAGAATATCAGAGAGAGAGAGAGAGAGAAAGAAGGAGGAAATTAAATATTCAAGGAAATAGAAATTTACTGTTTTGAGAAATGGTAAATTGCAAAATAAGTATGATTTTGGTGTGAGTTTTCAGTTGGGGAAGGAGGTAATTTATTGTTATTAGTTGATGATTATTTTTGTATATCGTGTTGGAGGAAAATTGATATTTTGCTTGTTTTTTTTATTTTTGTTTTATGAATAATAGCAGCAACTGATTATGGTACCAACTATCAATTAATGGTACTATAAATATCATCAAATAATAATGGTACCATACATCGACCTTTAATGATATCAATAAATATTGGTACCATTGAAAATTGCTTTTAACTTTTTGTACCATTGATAATTGATACTATTAATAATTAGTTAATCAATTTCCTTCAAATAACAAAAATTTTTTCAACTTCATTAAGAAAATAAATTGTTACAAAATATTTGTGAATTAAAATTAACATTGAATACAATTAGATTAAAAAATCCAATTAAATTAGAATAAACATTGAATTAAATTCGAATGAAATTAAATTTAAAGAATAAAATTAAAAGAAATTTGAATTAAAATTTCATGAAATTGAAAATAATATTGAATTAAATTAGAATTAAAATTGAATAAAGTGAGATTGAAAATTATATGAAAGTAAAATCATAATTGAATGGAAATAAAATTAGAACTCAATAAAATTAGAATTAAAATTGACATATGCTAGAATTAGAATTGAATAAAATGCGAATTGATACTAATTTAAATTAGAATTAAAAATAAATAAAACAATAATTAGAATTGAATAAAAATTTAAAATAAAATTAAATATAATTAGAAGTTAAATTGAATAAAACTAGGAATAAAAATTGTACAAAATTAGATTTCAAGACAAATGAAATTGAAATCAAGGTTTAATAAAATCAGAATTAAAATTAAATGTAATTAGAATTAAAATGAAATAAAACTAGAATTGAATTTGACTAAAATCAGAATTAAAAATAATTGAAATAAGAATTAGAAGTGAAGAAAATTAAAAATAAAATATAAATTTAAGTAATAGGTACTTAATGAAAATCAGAATTAAAATTAAATGTATTAATTTAGAACTAAAATTAAATAAAACTAGAATTGAATTCGAATCAAATTAGAATCAAAATCAAATGAAATCAGAAGGAAAACGAAATGGAATCATAATTGAACTTGAACGAAACTAGAATTAAAATTGAGTGAAATTAGATTTAAAAATTAAACGAAACCGTAATTAAAATTGAAAGAAACTAGAATTAATGAAATCATATAATAATATTAAATGAAACTGCTATTAAAATAAATGCAAACAATATATTTTGTTAAAATAAAAATTCAGACCTGAATTATATACCTAATTCCTCAAATAAATCTTAATTATCTATTGAGACTTAAATTGAATAATTCTGTAAAAGAGAATAGATAATAAATAATCCGCATTCGGTAATAACAGAAAATTTCTATTCATAGAAGACTAATTAAACTATTAAACAAGCGTTATAGTAATATAAATAAATCAACTTCCGCATTTTTCTCAAAAAACTTTCCCCATTTTCGTTTGCCAATACACCTGCTCATAATTTACAATCTTGACTTGATTAATTTTCAATTTATCCCTTAAATAGGTGTATGCAGGCCTCGCGAGACAAACTCTCACGTATTGAAGATAATTATTTTAAGTAAATTCATCCGTCGATTATAGAGCGTTACTCGCGTGGACGATCCGCTAATTAATTACCCCGTTTTCGCATCCATATTGCACACCTTGTTAACCAAATGGAATATCTTAAGAGGCACGCTTTCGACCTCGTATATATATGTAGTATATTAAAAGCAGAGTTTTAATACCATACAAGGTAGTAACCAATAAAAACCAGTGGTACCTGCTTAGACAAGGTATATTTACCTTAACAAATTCGTAAACATGTTTTCCGTAATGTAAGTCGTGGAATCTTTTAGTTCAAGTATAAATATGTAAACCTCCACTGAAATGATTTTAATGTAAAGCCTTTTGGAAATTTAACTATTTCTAAAAATTATAACTGTAATTCTTCTAAAATTCAATCATTTTTTGTTGTTAAAATTTTTAAATAAAAAATAATATTATACATATCTTTAATCATTTTATTTCAAAATAAAAATTTAAATATTATTACAGTTTTTTTAAATTTGAAATTTAGTTATTTCTAAAACTTCCAATAATTAATTATTATCTATAATTTTAATTGAAATTCAATTTTAAATCAATTCATATATTGAAAGTTCTACGAGAATTCAATTATTTAAATGCAAAAATAAATAATTTATTGAATAATCCAATATTGCTTAAAATTTAATTCTTATAAACAACTTTATCAAAATTTAATTATATTAAAATTTTATAATTATTATAATAATATAAAAGTATTCAATTCTTATCTAAAATTTTTAATGAAATTCAATTTTAAATCAATTCTTATTTGAAAATTCTACGAGAATTCAATTATTTAAATGCAAAATTAAATAAATTTATTGAAGAATTGAATATTTCTTAAAACTGAATTCTTCTTGAGAGCTATAACAATTTTTTTTTAAATAATTGAATTCGTTCAAAGAATTTTAATAACATTTTAAGAATAATTGCATTTTATGAAAATAATTGAATTTTGAGACGAATTTCATTGGAATTTTTGTTTTAAATAGCTAAATTATTTTGGGAAATTTTATTTAAATACAGGTATTGAAAATCGTTGAATTAAGAAAAATTTTTGAAAATAATTGAAATTTTTACAAGAATTTTATTTATAAAGATAATTGAAATCTTGCCGAGAATTTTTCAAAAAAATTTTCAAAATAATTAAATTTCTTTCAAAGAATTTTATTACTTATGAAAATAATTAAATTCATGTGATGAATATTGTTATTTATGAAAATAATTGAATTTTGGAAGGAATTTTATTAAAATTTCTCAAAAACAATTGAATTGTTCGAAACATTTCATTAAAATTTTTTGAAAGAATAATATTCTTTCAAGAAATTTGATTAAAAATTTATTGAAAATAATTATTAAATTCTAAGAAACAAATTAAATGAACATTTTTTTAAATCATTGAATTCTATCGAAGAATTTTATTAAAATTTTCCAGAATTTAATTTTTTGGAGAATTTTATAACATAAAAATAATCGAATTTTGAGAGGAATTTCATTAAACTTTTTTTTAAATAATTAAATTCTTATGGGAAATTTTATTTAAATAATAGATATTCAAAATCATTGAATCAAAAAAAAAAAAAATTTTGAAAATAATTGAAATTTTTACAATAATTATATCTATATATAATAAGATAATTGAACTCTTGATGAGAATTTAAAAAAAAAATTTCAAAATAATTGAATTTCTGCGAAAAATTTTATAACTTTTGAAAATAATTGAATTATTCGAAAAATTTCTTTATATTTTTTTAAAAATTCTTTCAAGAAATTTGATTAAAAATTTATTGAAAATAATTATTAAATGCTAAGAAACAAATTGGATCAAAATTTTTTACAATAATTGAATTCATTCGAAGAATTTTATTAAAATTTTTTGAAAATTTTTTTTACTCAATAATTTTTACTAATAAAATTCTCTTTTTGTATCTTTACTTAAAAAATTATAAACAAACACCAAAAATTTTTTTGCTTCTTAGGTACCTTTCTTGAAAGCGCGTCACAATTGTTTAAAATTGTTTAATTGCTCATATCTTTTATATAATTAAAGATAAACCAATTTTGTTTTTTGCAGTCAACTCAGGAAATAATACACTTCAAATGATTACTAAACATGTTTACGATATTTTGTAAATTGAATTTTTATTTTAAAATAAAATACGCTTATTTTCAGGCTGGTAGATAAAATTGAATGACTTAACGTTCAGAATGTTCCTAAGTTAACATAAAAAAATTCCTCTTTAATATAAAAAAATAAAATATTATTACATCGTATAAACTCCCTGAATATTTAAATAGTTGTTAATTTTCTGACAATTATTTTGCATTTAAACAATTTTCAACAATTGTTATAATATATTGTATAAAATAAAGAATTATTTTGTCTCCAAAAAGCTGATTTTCTGAAAATTTATACTAATAAATAGAATATTACAAATTTTCAACTAATTTGGTGAGGTTTGCGTCGAAAATCATTAAAATATCTCCTCTAGTTACACATATATATGTATTTATTTATATTTATATTTATATATATGCTTTGTCGACTCGAAGACATGTGTATAGGCAACTGGTAGCCGATCAATATTTTAGTAGATATACCATGGTACCTAATGAACTGAAATAGCCGACGCATTGCGCATAGGGACTTCTGTCTTTGGATATAATGGCAGCTGCTATCCTTTGCGGGTCCACAAGCTCGTTATTTTCCCGCCTCAAGTGCTGCTTACTGTTTTTGGCATTATTGCCAAGCTTCAATGCTCGCCATATGGATTTCCGTCAATGCTTTATGTATAACGGATACCATTTGTAACATTTTCAACATCCTGCTTTTTAAAAGGTCAAACCGTTCCAATATTCACTTCGCTATTTACTGTGAGTAGTGTCTATGGAAAAAAAAAGAATTTTTCGTCTCAAATCAATTGCAGTTATTTCAATTCCACCTCTGAATCTGTTACATAATTCTAACGTATATTTAAATCTGTGATTGAATTTTTCTTCTTGAAAATCAATTTATTATTTTATTTTAATGATTTACTAGCAACAATTCGCGCGCGGCTGATTAATTAATTAAAAAATTAATTCTTATCAAAATTTTTTAACAACAATTTTCTAGTATTTTTTATAAATAAATAGGAGAATAATTTACATAGTAATTTAATTCAGTCAAACGAAATGTGTTATAGAAAAAATATAACAAACAAAATGAATATATTTTTGATTTGTTAATCATAATTTTTTCAAATTTTTCTAATCATGAAAAA